CAACTTACCAATCTTTAAGGCGATCAAAAACATTGAAAGATTTCCAATGGATCGTTAACATTTATCCCGTCATTTTTATTTTAACGCCGAATAAACAATAGCGTGTTAATTATAGCGTATGTACTTATCCGATACGCATTGAATTTTTCTTTTTTGTTTTTTTTTTTTTTTTAAAGTAACCTTTCAGAACTTTTTCACAAATCGCAACTATAATTCTAATCATCATCCTTATGAACATTCCACAAGTAATACCAAGGGTTAATAAATCCTTATCTGGTCGAGAACATCTTGATGTAGATTGACACCATTATATAAATCTCGTCTCCTGTTTATTGATTAAACAATGAGAATGTGGCAATGTAAGGGCGATACTTTCCCATGAGTATACGAGCCGATACTTAGGATATTGTTATAATATATTAATTAAGCGTATAAAGGGGCTATTTACGTATTAAATTGTATATATTTGATATTTAAAAGATTAGAAAGAAACATTGATAGAGTAAATTATAAAATTCCGATAAGCTTTATGTAATAATAATTAAATTCTAATTAGAATTGTGTAATTAGACTATGGACTATTTTGAGTCATGCATACTCTAATATGAATTAGCCGTCTGAAGTTGACCATAAATTATCACAAATTTGAACAGTACAATGAAAGCTAATAAAGGCATCTTCGTTAGGTATGTATAATATTTGGTAAATTAGCGGTAAGTTATTTATTTGACTGGAGCCGCTACAAATTGCATGATTCAGGGTTTTCAAAAGCGTACGTTAATAAAAAAGATGTCTGTCGCAAAAATGGGGAAATAAATCGAGAATTTAAACCTCCCCGTTTATCTGGCTAAGCATTTTGCAAAAATCGCATTTACGCTTAAACATACCGGAAATTGAATTGTACAATAGCAACCTCGAATCAATGTAATTGTAGCACAAAATTGCAAGAGTAGTTTCTCTGATTTGTCTAATTCCTTGCGTACATCTTTATCGGCGTGCGAACGTACACAAGAGCCTATACTTATGCCTCTGTGTACATTAGTATAAAACGCGGGAACACGATCACGCCATCGGATTTATTTGTCGTCTGCTGGACATCTTTCCATTCATGACCAAAGCACGAACGTGTCCGGAATGTCCAAAGTGTATGAAAAAGATGATAAACAGAGAGAGAGAGAGAGAGGGAGGATAGGTTCGTCCTGTGTATTTGGATTAATTAGGTCGATTTCTATATATAACTTAGTCATTCCTCCATCACAAAATGTTTCATTCAGAGACATGTACAGATATACACAATATGACTCTACTTATGCAATACTCGGACTCATCTAAATCCAAAAGAAGTAAAAAAAAACAATTATACAGAATCTACGGTTGATGCTATATTATGCTTTACAAGGACATGTCTCATGTCATTTTTCGACCCTTGAATGCTGACTTTACGTATCATCAATCTGCGAATCAAGTAAGCGACGGAGCTTTGTTTATTTTTCCGTTAGTCGATTTGAATACCATTGAAATAGTTTTAGAATAAAATATTAAGACCGTACTTTTATGTCGCTTTGGTCTAAAAATAAATTAAAATCAATACGACAAAACTGATTATAATGAGCATTACAAAATTTTAGTTGCAAATTTTTACAATAGTTTCCGTCGTTCCCTTTGTTCATTATTCTTTCCAATTTTATTTACCTAATACTACTTATATATTTCGTTTTGTTCAACTTTATGCTTAATCGCACAGATACATTAATAGTGTATTTAATTATTTTTTTTAGAAAATTGTCAATTATTTTCAATAGGAAGGCAAGGCTTTTAATTATTAGTAAGAACGAAATAACACTTTTAATCCAATTTTACAAATTTATTCGAAATACACTAGTTTATAGAAGTGATCGTATGTGGCTCACTTTTTATCACTCATATTTATTACTTTTATAAACCTATTTCACATAAATTTGTTTTTATTACCATTTTTATTCGTTTATTTGTTTTTGTTTCTTGAAAGAACTTGCTTTATTTTCGAATCTTTAAAAATACCGTATATTTGCCGTTTTTTCTATCATATCATTAAATTATTTTTAAAATCAAAGGTATAAATTTTATTTTCAGAGTGGAGATGATTGTCATCTTTGAATAATTGAAAAGTATGTCGAAATATAATGAAGCGTATGATTTTAGTGCGAGAGCAATCCTTAAATGATATATCTTTTTTTTTTTTTATAGAATTATACGTTTATAGTTTTTCTATCCTTGGCAATATCTGATCAATTCTTGACACAAGCAATCATGGAAAGTTTTTGCCAGCTGTAAGCATGCGCACGTCCTGATCGTATAAATTTTGCGAAGGGTGGAAAAACTTTTAGTAGGCCACGAAAATTTGTCGAGGGTTCGTTATTACATAGATAGGATAAATATTTTTTTTTTTTTTTTTAAACGGAAAATTGATAATTTGATTTAATAAATTTATATGAAATTATAAATTGCAATAATATGTTATGATTAGAGTTTGTACAGACTGAATAATAATAAAGTAGCTATTGAATGAAAGTAGATTTTTTTACATTTTGTAAAAATATTATCTTAGTTGTAATGAGGCGAAACAATATTTAAATGAATTTATTACTTATTAATTTATTCATATAGCAATAGATAAATGTCGATGATAAATAATTGCTTTTAATTTGTATTTTCACAAAAAAAAAAAAAAAAAAAATAAATAAAGAAATAAAATCGAATCAAATCGTACAACGTAAAAATATAAGAAATTCAAAAATTTGTTTTCGTTTACGAATATTATTATTAAACTTGAAATTGCTATGCTGTAATTATTATTTTATGTAATTAATGAAAATAAAAATGTGTGATTTGGAAAAGAAGGTGTAATATATTTTTAAATATGTCGATAATATAACCTAATATGTTTTATCATATGTTTTGTAGGATGATGTTACGAAAATGTGTTGCATTTTTATTTTAAAGCTAATGTTAATGAAACATATCTACGGTTAGTTTTGCAGTTTGTCATTGTTTAATCTGTAAAATAATTGCATCATTACGTGTATAAATAATGAGATTGTCTTTTTATTATAAAGTATATCTTATATGAAACGGAAGGGAAAGATTATCAATATATTCGAATTATGGATGGAATTATGGATGAATCGATGGATATCTTTTATTCGCGTAATACAAAAAAGTGAGTTTTTTTTAAATGTAAAAGAGAGTTTAGAATATTGTAAGAGGTAAAATAATTATCGAATATACATACGTATAACTCGATGAAGATGATGTTAAATAGTTATTCTAATATGCAAATTTTTGCAAAGACATGTCACATGAATAAGATGTTGCAGATGATGAAAAACATATAAATCATAATGTCTGTGTAATTCATTGGTATTTGTTAATATTGCTCGCGGGATCGATTTACTACTTGTTATACTCAATTTTATACTCCGTTACTCTGGTGATCATTTGTCTTTTAACGTACCGAATGGAATGAGAAAGAGAGAGAGAGAGAGAGAGAGAGAGAGAGAGAGAGAGAGAGAGCAAAGGTAAAAACTAGTGCATGAGCTACTAATCATCGAGGTAGCGACATTCTTGAACGAGTTGACCGAGCGAACCATCGAGGAATAATAGGACGATGGGTTGGCGCCGGCTCGCTGAATCAAATTCAGTTATCCGAGTCAGCTACTAATTTTCTCAACTGACCCATTTGTATGATCAAAAGAGGGCCTGCCACCGAAGACAGACAGACATCCGAATCTTTGGTGACTTTCACCAACCGGCTAGATAGTACACCCATAATACTGTCAGACTCATAAACATAATGTCATCGATTTTGTCATCTACATTGCCATCACTACCAGCTTTCTTCTTTCTATACGCATATACGCGCTTTTTACTTGTCGCAATTTTCATATTACTACTTATTATATCTTTTTAAATACAGATTTTTCAAAATAAATTAATTTAATATAAATGTACATATATTTATATATCAATAGCCTAACAAATGTATGCGATATATTTTATCGTACAACCCTTTTATAAACTCTACAAACAGCATCGCTATGCAATAAACTGGTAATAATTATTATTAACAATATTGACATGGGTAATGATTGAGTTGATGACATTTTTCATAGGTTTGTCTGAGAAGAAAATAATTATGAAACGGATAAATCACGAGTATTAGGATATTCCATTGCTAGAGTACAGCAAACCTGACTTGAGGACAAAAATGAATTCGGATGACGCACATTAATGTATGTCTAGTTAGTGCATACCGACAGTGACGTATTGTTCCAACAACTACTTCCATCATAGGACTTCTTCCCTCCCCTTCAACCCATCTCGCTCCATCCTTTGATATCCCTCACATAACTATGAGCGCTATTATTATAATCTTAATCGTACAATCCTTCTTACACTATAATATCTTACAAATTCATTAACCTATCTCTAAAGAAGGCTTTTAATCTATTTAATTTTTCCAAAATATTATTGTCGTACCACATTGATGACGATAATGAACGATAACACCTTTATCTTCCTCTAATTTTCATATATACTTGTATAAAAAACTATACAAGTATTATACAATTATTAAGTCATCGATGATGACTATACGATACTAGACTTATATGTAATACTTTACAAATACGATTATATTATATCTCAATGTTAATTCACACAAACGATCAATTATGAAAGATTTAACAAATATTCAAGCAAACGGCCCACTAATGATAATTTTTAACGCCTTTGTAAACTTTGAACATTCTTCGATACTTTATAAGACAATGTTTCTCCCTAACAACAAAGGCAATGTATTTATAATACAGTATTAATTATTGCTATTGCCGTAATTATTGATAAATCGTTTATTGAATTTTTAATGCAACAGACGTAAAAATTGGCTGTGATTTACGTTAAGCATAAAAATATTATAAAATTTTATAGGGGCAAATAATAAAAAAATTTTTTATTTACAGACCGATTACAATAGACACTTGGAGCAAGTGGTAGAGAGGACGGAGAATTTACTAATCGACTGTTTCAAGAAACAAATGAGAAAGGAAAATATTCTTCGTATAGAAAAGTATCAAGCGTTAATTGAAAGAGTTCGTAAACTTTCGCACGGTAAATTACTTCTTCCTTTTCATTCGCTTTTTGTGGAACAGAATAACCGTAAAATTTATCACACGAGATAAGAATTAATTTCGTTATTCCTTTAGATGAGTGCGAGTCCGTCACCATGTCTCTAGCCACAAAGGTTTTTCTCTATAAAATCGATAGTTTAGTGGAATTGTTGGAAGAAATTAAATATTTCGATAGTGACATATCAATGGAAATAGAAGCTATAGAATTCAATTTACATAAGCTTAAGCAACTGGTCCAACAGGAAAACTGCTTAAATGCTGGTGGTAAATTCGAATGGATCGATAGTATTCTCGTAAAGGTATTATAAATATTCTCTTCTCCCACCCCCTCTTTTTTTGTTTTGAAATTATAACTCAATTACCGAGATCATTAAAATTGCTCACAACGCTGTTAGACGTATTTAATTTTAACCTAATAAATGTAAACTGTAAACGCCATGTTTTTAATGAAAACTATTCAAATATTACTACAAGCTTTAATAAACAAACTGTAATGAGGCTATTTTAAAATCGCTCATCAACAATCGTTAAAACTAAATTTATCCGTAATTTAATAAAACTAATTTACATTACAATTATAGAAACTTTTTTAACCGAAATATGTGATATTTACATTTCATTTGATTTTAAAACATTGCCGGCTTACCTTTCTTTGTACTATTATCTAACATGTAGGATGAATATTTATGGTCTTAAAAGCTTCTATTCTATAAAAATCAAACGTTCAAAATTTATATCCAATTCTTGAAGTTATAATTAAATATATGATATTCAACATAATGGAATTATAAAAATACGTTGTTTCGCCATCTATTGGTCTTGCTAAAGAAATAAATTTCATCATGCAACGGTAAATGCCTGTCCATTATCTGCAAAGAAATTATCATTCAATGGTAAAGTTTCCCCATTAAGTGATCATTATTTTCATCACCGTCTTTCCTCAACGAAATAATCTATTTATATAACGAAATATCTATTTATATACCGATTATATGTATTAGTATATAAATAATATATAAATAAACATTATGCTACTAAGTGCTTGCAAGATGGAACTTGGCTACTTGTGGATCAAGTAAATTTGTGCAGTCCTGCAGTATTGGATAGGCTTAATGGACTTTTGGAACCGAATGGATCTCTTAGTATTGGCGAACGAGGTGTCGATAGTGACGGAAACGTTGTGACCATCGAGCCACATAAAAATTTCAAACTTTTTCTTACGATGGATCCAAAATACGGAGAAATTTCTAGGTAAAATTGAAATTCGATTTTGCATGGAATTATTTTTAACTCGACACGTACATTAATTTTTTTTATGTCCATTCAATATTTTCATATTTTTTGGCATACAACATTTTGCCCTTTATAAGTAATTGGAATTCAGTAGAATCAAAAAACGCCTCAAAATATGTATTAAAATTTTAAATAAATTAAAATAAACGAGGCATTTAATTTAAAAGATATACATGTCCATTGTTTTTTTTTATATTATTCTTTTTTTTATTCTTCTTCATCTGTTATATTTAGACATTAAAGATAAATCTAATAGAAAACATTATCAATAAATGAGATATTATGTATAAATACATATTTTAATATTTGAATAGTATAAATGCAAGGGTATATTGAAGAAATAAGCAATTTATAATAATTTATAATTTTTACATACATTACGGTATAATTATTATATTAGTTATTGTCCACTGTAATGACTATTATTATCATCATTATATTTATTGTATTCATCGCAATCATCATGATCATCGTGATCGTCATCGTCATCACCATCATTGCATTACATTCCTCTAAAGATATATGAGATTTTTAATTAATAAAATGCGTAATTTTCAGAGCGATGAGAAACAGGGGAGTCGAGATATTTATGCTGAATTGCAATGATAATCCAGAAACTGGTCAACTCGACTACAGATCCCTATTGCACTACAGTGGCCTTGTCAAAAAAAATCATCACGAAGCTCTTCTGACGATTCACGCACGCATCTCCAAAGATCCTTCCAACGTGGATGGTTTGAACATTGTTCAATTACTCCACAGTGCCTTTCTTATTGTGCAGCAGCTCTCACGGGGCTTTCCTGCATTACAAGCCTTTAAAAGCGCCTGCATGGATGTCTATTTAAAAGCTCGTTTGATCTTCCATTACGAAACGAGGACACGTTTGTCTGCAATTATCGATGACACGGTGCAGCAATTTCATGTTGATGAGAGCGAGGAGTACGCGTTAAATTTGGACACGGCAACATGTAGCCTTAGAAACTTGCTCGATAATTCGAAGCTTATCTTATTAAAGCAACAAGGAATCATCTTAGATTGGTGCACGAAAGCTTACATGTCGCATAACGATAAGGAGATTTCTTTAAAGACGGACTTTATTAATGAATTTCTCGCACTGCACGACGAGGAAAGTCCAATACTAAATGTCCAAGTGCTTGATATTTTACCTTACGTTCTATTGAATTTTTACGAACATTCAAGCTTAAGTGACGTGACATTACGAAGAGTCTGGTCATCAAATATTTTCAAAAAATATTCAAAGTTTGATTTACTAGATAAGAAGAATTCAATGTTGGTCGAGGAAATGTTGTCATTTGATTTTGAAGATTGCGATACCGAACGTCCCTGGGATAGAAAGCAATTTAAGCATTCAAATAATTTAGCCTTGTTGCTGTATTACGTAAGCCTAATTGTTGATAATGAAATTAAAAACGAATGGAAAATCAGCAATCGCGATGAAATTATTACTGTTGCACAATTTTCACAAGCCCACCTCGAAGGTAAGATATTAATACAAAATTGTTTTTACGTCGATATTGACTATGATCTCTTATCTTGATATATAAAAGTAATATATAAAATTATAATTAATATATTACTTCTTATGTATGTAAATTTTTTCTAATTTTATATAATTTTATAATTAAATAAACTTTGTATTTAGTGTAAGCGTGCGTGCACGCGCGTGACAAAAATATTAATTCAATTCATTGAATTTCATGACCAACTTAATTAATAAGACATTTCATTATAATAAATATAACAATTTTATTCCTAATATTTAAAGTTTTTATTAATAAATGCCAATTTTCTATAGGTAAAATGACAATAAAATTGAAGGACCAATGCCTTATAACAAATTACGTAACGTTTTTACTTCAATTCCAAAACTATATTGAGAATATATTAAGAAAAAGTCGAAGAATCATCGATGAATTTTCATACGTAATACTTCGTCAGAATTTAAAATGGTTCAGTAGATTTTGTCATTTGGGTAAAATGATCTTAGTAGATAAATCAAAAAAATCTAATAATCAGTTTGAAAATCTGGATGAAGTTGTTTTGTTAATAAAAGTACATTACAAATGGCTGAAAAAATGTTTAATGCATCTTGGAGAATATTATAATGATTTAACTCCAACGGACCAAGATGATTATTTAAAAAACATCATCGATAAAATCGACGAAAGCATAATATCACTTTATGATCCGTTTAGGAAAATCTGCAAAATTTATAAAAAGCATATAATTTCGCCTTTACCACACTCATCTGATATTGTTTTGAAAGCACACACGATGTTACAGAATGTAACGAATTCTTTTTACCCATCTAAAAATAAATACATATCTACGAATTTAATAGACGAACAGAAATTCGTCGCGCTTCAAACAGAGAAAGCCTTAATGATTCGATCTGAATTAATATCTCTGTGGCAGAAGATTTATTCTAATGAAACAATTAATGAGAATGTATTTCGAGTACTCCAAGATACGAGCACATTTTGCGAAACACATTTAAATATTACGGTTTCTTCGGAAGACTCTACCTCGACTGAACAGCTTCAAATACAATTAACGAACGAAATGGCAAAAACTGCAGCCAAAATTCAGCTTTGGCCGCTCCACGAATATATGTTTATATTATTTGTCGGAATGGTTCAAAGAAAATTTTGTCAAAATCTGTCCAAGGAGTTGAATGATATTGCTTTGCCTTCAAGCTGCCTTTCTGTTCATCATAACAACATTCCAAATATACCCATTGAATTACATGGAATACTAAGCACAATTTGTGAGAAGCAGCATAATGTGGTGGAACGTAATCGCTTGATATTCGCGCTATTCGTTTTGTTTTCAAAATTTAGTGAACATTCTTATGCCATTAAAAGTTTTCAACAGGTATGTAATTTACTATTTTCCTCAATTATATATTATATTATATAGGAATAAAGGTTTTTCATTATTTTCACTTACACATTACATTTAGATTATAACTAATATAATTTCATGTATAAATGATTCTTAAGTTAAATGAGAAAAAAAGTTGAAATACTTTTTATTTCTCAAAGAATAAAGTTTTTTATTAAGCCCTTAAAATTTACTCAATAAAGTCTTTAAAATTATTGAAAACAATTATAATAATTTTTTTATCTATTTTCTATATTTACAACTATAATTTTATCTTGATGTTTATTATGTCTTTTTAAACAGATAACGCACTGGCAAAATACTACCGTGCAAGGTAAAGGAAAACTTAACGGTTCGACTGAAATGTCGGATCGAGAGAATCTTGACAGTGGTCCGATACTCGTGACTCTAGTTGCAGAACTTCTATTCGACAAATCGCAAAAATTGTATTCCGAAAAATCGTCCATCATAAGAAACGTGGCACTCGGCAATCACGAGAATCGTCTTGAGCAATTAAAAACATTAAATGATTTATTGTGGAAGAATAGCGTCGCTATCAATTCCCAACAATTTGACGCTGCATTTAATGACTTGCAAACCTTGTATCATTTAATTCAAAATTTCTTGGCGACGTCCGCTATGGTCGAAAATGATTCACGATTTAAGGAACTTTTTTACAAGCAAATATTAAGTTGTGCCGCCGCCTTAGCCATCACTGACGAATATTTAATGCCTTTAAGCAATTTGCGTAGAATTTCCAAATTAAGTTTAAGCGAGTTGAAATTAAAGAGAGGCGAAGCTTGGGCCCTACTTGGATACCTTCACACTTTTATATTTGGCAACATGGGTTACATCGATCCCGTGCACAAAGTTGCCCTTAAGTTGAATTACGTACAGGAGGATATTACAGATTGCGAAAAAACAATCTACGTGGCTACTCTCTATTCAAGGATTTTAGGTCAAATGGATAACTGCACTACTCATCCAAGAATCCATCATATGCAAGATAGTCTTACGAGCCTAAAGATTAAAAGAGAGTCCTTGAGTAATTTGAAAGCTGTAAGACCGAAAAATACTGAATTTATTGCACTCTCTAAAGAATTTATCAATTTCCGAATAACTCTCGGCTCGTACACTGTCGTTAATAAGCATATCCAACAACTCAGTGACGCCACGATAAAATTGAAAAATGAGGTTTGTTATGACAATCGTCGCGTATTGCACTTTATTCATATCAGTAATAAAACGTAATAATAGCATGAACTACTTATTTAAATGCGATTTTACTTACATAATTTATTGTTTAAAATTTAAAACGTTGCTACTGATACTTATGCATTAAATGTTGGCTTGAAAGTAAAAGAAGTGTTATGAAGAATATTAAATTAAATATTATATTAAATAAGTATTTTAATAAGTATTTATAAAATTTTAACAATGGACTGATGATAATTTACACTTAATGCTTCTACAATAATTTGAATGCTTTTTCTAACTGTAAATATAACATTTATTTTATATAATTTTAGTTAAATATAAATTTAATTGTATTTTTATAATTATATAATTTAAATATATTCTTCAGCATTCGTAATTCTGTATTAATAATGTAATCGACATTTCAATTTTAGATAACAGTAGTATCATTCAATTGAAATAATATTTGTCATATTTTTTTTCCATAAAAGAATAGATATTTAATTTCTTTTAAAATTTGATAAAATGCACGTTAAAATTAGTAAAATAGATGTAAAAAATTTTGTTCCCCTAGATTGTTCAATTCTAAAAAAAATCCGTTATCGTCTTCTAAATGTTTTATTTTCCACAACAATTATTGAAATTGAAGAGAAATAATTTTGCATTTCTAGTATCTTTCATTGCAAACTCAATATTCACTTAAAATAAAATTGAAAAAAAATTTAATTATTAAAAGAACTTTTGGTTTATATATATATATATATATAGATATTTGATGATTTCATCGTTCATATTTTAGCGATAAATATATTCAAATGCAATAATAATTATTACTGCTCTGAATTTATCACTAGTTTAATCCTTATATGTTGTTGCTAATATTTAAACTTTTGCAAAATTCTTTTCAGCTCAATGTAAATAACATCGAAAATCTTAATTCATCAATACGAGAAGCTGAAATATGGCTTGAATCAATGCATAGATTTATGGATAAAATAGAGACAAGATTTATGACGGGATATCCTGATATCGTACTTCCTATTTTATCGGGACTTGCTCAAATGCGTCACGGTATTCGCATTCTTAAAAACGAAAGTTGTAAAGAAATCGCAGCAGCGGAAAGAAATATCGACTCCAAAAAACTCGAAGGTTTTCTTCAGGGCCTGATGCGCTTTCCAACAATCGGCCCTGAACAGGAGAGTCTTCTTAGTTTAGTTAATCTGTGTATCTCACACGAAAGTAGAATATTACTAAGTAACAGCATGAAATCCGAAAACACTTTCGTAATTTTGCACGAACAATTTAAGTTAACGATAGCTGGTCTTTATGAATTTTATAATTACATTGTATTGAGAGGTAGTTTGACAAAGCCATTATGGACGCAACTCAATAGTATATTACATCAAATTTCGTTAATTTGGCAACAACAGCAAAGAGAATTGGAGAAACGGGAAGCAGAACAAGGTAGTTTGTACAAAAATGAATCAAAAGTTCGCGGGCAAACATTGACAGAAGAAGAAGAAATTTTACAAGAGCTGAAAGACCTATTCCCAACTCAACGGGAGACCGATTTTGCAGATATTCATAATGTTTTAACGCCAAGTTTAGAAGAGAAGATAAAGGTGTCGAGCGAAGAGAAAGATTTTGAAGCCTTGATTGGTGAAAATGATATGCAAGAAGTGAGTACATCTCTTTCAAGTTTATTATACAAATTTGCATAAAATTATGAAAATTTAAATCGATCCTTACACAACCTTTCGAATCAAGAATCTTGCACGCAAAGTTAGAGAAATAACCGTTTCATCGCTATAGTCCTTATCACAAAAACCATATCTATGTATCTTGATAAAAATTTTTAATATCCCCTCCCCCTCTTCATCAATCTCATAACTTTTACCTATCCTCGTAGACCAACTATTATTCATTAAATGAACCTTACCAACTTAAATATTGTTTCCCTTACACATTCAGGTACAGAACATACATTCAAGCATCGTAAAGACCTTCGCGGATTCCGAGTGGTTGTGCAAGAGCGAGGACGGCATGCGGCCCGATTTTATCGAACCTTTCCTACAACGCTGCGGCACCTTCGGCCTCTTGCTATTCAATGTCCTCCCAGCTCTCACCAACACACCAACCGCCAATCTTTACACAAGTTTGAACGTTCTGAGTTGTACGGCCAGCCGACTTGGCTTGGGCGAGATGCTCAGCCCCGGAGGCAGCCTCAACGTCGTCAGGAGTAACGACAAACACTATGATTATTACAAAGATAGTAACATCGAGGAGGTGAAGCAGTGTGTGCCCTTGCTCAAAAGCATCTCGGGCAAGATCTTGGAACTTTTGGAGCAATGGCCGGAGCATCCGACACTGATCTCTTTAAGGATTATATTAGAGAGGATAGACTCGTTCCCCGTGACTTCGGCCGTTTCGAGGTTCCTTACCGGCCTCGAGCTGCTGCTCGTTAAGATGCACGAGTGGGAAGAGAATGCCCATAGTGACGTGACCCTAACGGAGTTTATATTGGCCTTGACGCAGCAGATTATCGCGTGGCGAAAACTAGAATTGGCTTGCTGGAAGGATTGCCTCGCAACGACGCAATTGAGGCTTCGTTCGCGTACTTCCAAATGGTGGTTCTACCTCTATGCCCTGTTCGACAGTTATGTTGCCAAATGTAAGCCATCGATTAAAAATTAGAAGTAGTTGAGAACGCGCATAGATTATTACGTTTTTATCCTTCTAATAATGTAAATTGAGCACCACTCTGAAAATATATGCTTTCACCACTTTTACGTAATTGTTACATTGAAACGAGCTCTTGCAAAAAATTATACATCTGTTAAGTAAAATTTCTAAGATCTCTGAAATATATTATTAAAATGCCTGGATAATCGTTAACGAAATTAACGCGTGCTACTTTACATTTATGATATTATGTGGAAAAAAAATTGATATATTTGTTAAAGGGTTTAAAGCTCGATTGAAATATTGCAACGTGTCGTTAAATTTTGTAAAATTTCCGAGTGAGCTAATATATTGTTATTTTCGCTTCAAATTGTGCTCGCGGCAAAATCAAACAAATGCCTGTATGATTTAGGCCAGAAATTGTTGATAAAATCTAATTATTGCTATAATTTTCTTATTTTATAGCCGAAGATAATGCCGACAATGATCCTATAACATCTAAAAAACTGATCGAATCTTTAGAACTATTTATGAATTCGTCAACGCTCGTAGAATTTGAGGCACGTTTGGAACTCGTTTTAACATTCCATTGCCATGCTTATTATTTAAATCCCAGCACAGAAAGAGATAATCTCCTTGCAATTTCTTGGAATATTTACAACTATTATAAACAATTTTTATCAGATGTCAATGTTAAAATTAATTTAATCAAAACGCCAATTGAGAAGAAGCTCAAGGATTTTGTTAAAATTGCTCGATGGAACGACATAAGCTACTGGGCGGTGAAAGAAACCATTGAAAAGACTCACCGTACGCTGCATAAATTTATAAAAGAATTTGAAAATGGCCTGAAAGAACCCGTGACCCCGCAATTAATTGTTAAACCGTCATATAAAAAGGATACTGTAAGTTGTGCATGTCAAGTATAATTGTATATCAAGATGTAAAGACTCTAGGGTCAAAATTTTAGTTTAAACGATTGTCGCTTCCGTGATTAAAATACATACTTTAATCATTACATTAAAAATTAAATGATATAAATTTGCGTTTCATTATATTAATAAGCTTAATAATTCCTTAGATTAATAAGGAAATATTAATAAGCTTAAATAAAGTGAAAATCATTAATAGTTTCATAGACTCTAATAAACTTATAGAAAACTTATGCGAAATTATGCGTATATTCGGTAAGAGCAATGTCTTGTCAATGTTATAAAATAAATTTATTATTTCAATACGATTTTAATACGATAACGTTTATTAGTAGATGTTTAGTTTAATTCAAATTGAATTATTGAAAGTGATTAAAAATTATATTTCATATTTTTAATATTTTTTTCAAAGGGTATTTGGGATCGCGTGGAAAATAGCCGAAATTGTGACATCAATCCGAACGATTATATCATAAATGCATCAAAGAAGAAAGCTAATGACATTTCTAGCATTAAAAGTGATTTGATCGCAAGAGCTGACACTCATTATTTATTACGAGCTAGAAAACTTTGTAAGGAGGTGATCCTCATGTCATCCTATCCAAATCTACGTGTTACTTTTGAAGATTTTGTCGAGGAATTCACAAATCATGGCAATAGCTTACGAGCCCTTGAAGTCGATCGGACCCTTCCAAAATCAAAACAGAAATCTCAGGCTAAAAGCATACTTCAACAAAAACGTTTAGCGCTTGCGGATTACTTTAAGGCGTTGATGGATTTCGGAGTCTCGCATAGAATTGGCATTCTTGCGTGGAAAAATAAACTGGACGAAGTAATAGATTACACAATACCTCCACTAGATGTTAAAGCTGCTTTAAAGTCCATTCACTTAGATGGTAATGGGAGGAAGATTTTGGATCAGTGGGACGGTATCGAAAGGTTATATTATTTTTGAAATCGTATTAATTTAACGATAAGTTGCAGTGAGCTTTCTATTTTCATAACTAACATAGATATCTAAATTGATTTCGATGAATTGACTATTCTTAATAAAAAATTATCTATGTATTGTGGTAGAGAAATCTTTGTCTACGGTAATTCTAATCTAAAACTCCAAGCAAGCAATTTATTAAAGTTCATAAAACAAGAATTTTTAATAAATTATGCGTTATTAAATAAATAAGCATTATCAATTTAGTGCTATTTAAACAATTTAAAGAAACCTATGCCTGGATAATAATAAAATAATTACCTAAAATCATTAATTTACATTTTATTTGTATTTTTTTTTCAGATATTACTATGGCTCTTTGATTAAATTAAATGCGTTAAATCGCACCCTTTTAACTAGCAAAACGGATCTTGGAAATCAGAATATGGAACGGTGTATGGGCTTTTCTACGCATCTTATGCTAATGGCTAATAAACAGAAGAAGATACTCGCTGCAGCCTTCAAATACTTAGGCAATTTAGATTCTCATATTTCAGATTTGTCAAGCATAAGTATTGATGATACTTTGATTAGAAAGCAAGTAGATCTGTATAATATGGCTAATAATTTGAAAGAATTATTGATCACAGCACAAACTAGTCTTGAACAATTCCAAATATACTTGCAAGCTTGCCCATCTGAAGCTCAAGATGCGAGTGATGATAACACATATAACTTAGCTACTAATGATTTAGCAATTGTTAGTTGTAAGAAAGGCGATACAATTTGGGAAAAGGCGAATTGTTACATTGTTGAGTGCTTAAAATTAATAATAGATATTGTGAAAAAATTCGATATAATGTTCCCAGAGCAACGTATTATTTACGGGGATAATTATGAGAGTGAAGTTCAAACACGTATTATGACGACAAAACACTTTGAATTTTTAAAGGAAAGTTTTATTTCCTTGACAAGTGTAAAAGAAAATTTACGTCACTTTGCAATCATGTTTTATGTAGAAGAAAAAAATCATCCGTTGTTAACAAATATTATTTTCCTTGAAACAAATATAACACGTATATTGAATAAATTTGACGAGATAATGATTTCTTCGGAGCAGCAGACAATATCCGACGTCTCTTCGTACAAAGACGATTGCGATAAATATGAGATTAATTTAGAAAAATTATTAAACACAGTTTTATTTGTTATTCAAGATAAGTACAAAAATAGCCTACCGTCCGAAATTGAATTTAACTATAAAAATAGTCATAGTAATGAAAATTTAAACGAAGACCCTAATGACGACGAATACGAGCGAAATAAGTTAAAAGAAAAATTAATAGAATCCATTGAAGCAGATATAAAAGCTTTGAAATTAAAAGAAATTTATCAAACCTTAAATCATCTATTGGCAAATATATTTTATAGTAATTCTGAACTGATTTCATATTACTGCGGGTAAGATATATTTTTATATTTATATTTAACAAATTATTGAAGAAAAATTAATTAGCTCATAAATATATGAGTAACTTTATATCAATTTGCAAATGTTTATTGTAAAAAATATTCATCTTTATTTGAAAATATATTCTTGACTAAATAATTAGCAAGCTTTTTATAGTTCTTACTTTTGATATTACTATGATCTAAAAATTATTTATCGTAAAATAATATATTATAAGTTTATAAAACTTTATATTTATAATTTAAACCTTTACTGGATGTTCTTAGTCTTTTTACAAATGAAAAAGTAAATATAATTTAATGTGTGCGAAGTATTTTGTTTAAAAATTATGAAGTTAACAAAAATATATTTTCTACATTATTTTAGATTAATTAAAAGGTTTTAATATGAAATTTAAACAATACTAATTAATTCGTGAATGTAATCGACCACATGCATTGTATAATTATAAATGTTATAAATGGTCTTTGAGTTTTCTAGAAGCTAATGATTATGACAATTAAAATTTTTTTACGTATTTGTTACATTGTATCCAAATTTCGATATTTAAATAGTAAATTTAGTAAATAATTGAATTGAATAGAAAATTTAAGAAACTGATTAATTAAGCTTACAAATTATATTTATTTGATTTACAATTTAATTCACGAATTAATAATAAATAAGCTATAAAGTATATCAACAGTTGTATTTGGTCACATATGTCAATGTTTTAAATAAGTGTTTTTACAGTTTATAAAATTATATAAACATTGTATAAACAGTTTATACAAATTGTACTTTATTATTCAAATGAAGCAGAGTTATTAATTTTATATAAAGATTGAAAAGCACTGTTCAATCAATATTAACTATAATTTTAGCACGTGTAGATCAATAAAAATATAACACTAAATCATCGTTTATGTATTGATAAATTAATATTTAGCTTGTGATAATTATAATTGACTAAAAAAAAAGTTTAATTTATCATAATTTTATAGTGCAAAAATTCACTATTTATTTAATTTTATTTTCCAGGCTTCTTAAAAAATGTTTACCGTTACTTCATCAATATCTTTTATTAGTTCAATTTTATCTGAATGAGCAAGTGGCCGCCCTTCGTATTACATGTAAAATCTTACATATGCAGCTGAATGTATTCCTTGATCTCGCTACCAATGGCTTTTGTGTTCCAAAGGATCTTGATCTTGAAGAAGGTGAAGAAGGATCAGAGCAATCCAGTAAGGGTGGCATGGGATTAGGAGATGGTGAAGGTCAAACAGACGTGTCTGACAGAATCGAAACAGAAGATCAGTTAGAAGACGCACGACCTGCTGGTCAGGAAAAAGAAAAACTTGAAGATAAAGATTGTCCGGAAGAAGATAAAGGTATTGAGATGTCCGAGGATTTTGAAGGCAAATTGCAGGATTTAGATAAGAAGGAAGAAGACGATACGAGTAATAATGATGACAAAGATGATGAGAATATTGATAAAGAAATGGACGATACAACTGGTGCAGTTGATAAGTTAGACCAGCAGATTTGGGGCGATGATGAAGATGAATTAAAAAATGAGCAGACTAATAAAGATAAGGAAGAAATTGGGGATGGTGAAAGTACAGGTGACACGCTTTAATAATGAATTAAGATATTTAAAAAATTTTACAGGTTAATAAAAGAAATATATGGTTAATATAAATAAATTGATATGATAATTGCTATGATATACTATTTATTAAGCAATAAAATGAGTAATTCTTATGATATTAAAAAGAAAATTAACATACGTTAGATGTAAGGAAAAGAAGTTCATTGTATATTGACATCACTTACAAAGCTTATGTAATTATATACGCGAAATTTGTAAAATTAGCATTTTTTGTTTGAAAGTTTATAAGGATGGAACTCGCATATTTATAATATCGGTATAAAATTTTTGGCTTTTTAATACAAAGTAAAACATAAAACCAATGTAAATATAATACATGTAAATATTACCAAAATATTGGCGAAGTATTTTAAAACATTTTTCTGTATGAGAGTTCAAACGTTTATGCGTTTAATTTAATCAATCTATTATTATGTTATATTTTAGGAGACAAAGAATTTGGAAACAAAGATGACAAAACTCAAGAAAGTCCCGAAGACCAAGGAAACGACAAAAACGAAATAAATACAGAACAACAAAAAGAAATAAATGAAATGGAAGAACCAGAATATGATGAAGACCATGTGAATCCTTATCACGGAAAGCATCAACCAGAGCCAGAACCCGAACCATTAGATCTTTCAGAAGATATCAATATGGAAGACGACAATGTCGAAAATGACGAACAAAATAACGAGGAAAATCCATTTGATATTGATAAAATGAAAGAATCGATAGAAGTCCCGGAAAATCAAGAATCAAATATACCTGAAAATGAAGAAATTAATGATGAAATTAAGGATACACATACGGATACTAGTGATGAAGAAGATGAAACTGAGAAAGAAAAATCCACCGACAAGCCCGAGGATGAGGCGAATAAAGTCGATGAAAATGTAGATGAAGCAATTCAACAAGCATCCGAAATAAACAAAGAAAATAAAGAAGAGGAAAATATGGAAGGCGTGGAAAATGAAATGGAGGAGAAAGCGATGCCGAGCACAGATGAACCATCGAAAGAATTGGATGCATCTAAGCAAGTAAACGAGACAGAAGACGGCTCTAAAGATAATGTCGCTAATGGAGTAAAAAACGAACAGGATTCGAAGGAAGAGTCAAATGCGGAAAATTGGCAAGACGAGAGAAAGGATAAAGGAACAGGACAATCGAAAGCTGAGGAGCACAACAGTGGACATTCGGGAACATCGTTGGAAAAAATCAATTCAGTTTCAAATCAAGATATAGATGCTCAGCAGGTAATACCCATTAACATGTTACTATAAACATTTTATTTTTAATTTCATCGTAATAATAATCATGAAAAAAAAATTATTTTTTTTTAATTACATGTAATGCTGTTCATTTTTAATAGAATGAAAAAAGAAAGCATCCAGGTAAAAGTGACGAGACTCATATGTTGGCTGAGAAAATAGAACCTGATAAGAAAAAGCTGAAAACAATGATACATTCTCAAGAAAAATTATCCGAGGATGGCAATAACGACGAAGGTGCAGAGCGCGATGAAAACGGCGAACCAGACATGTGTCAACATGTAAAGGAAAAGGAAAAATTCGATCATTACGCGATGGATGCCGCTACTGAAAAACAATCAAAAGAACAAGCTTCGAATAAAGAGGAAGAAGATGAAGCGAAAGATGATGCACAAGCGATGGATGTCGATATGCACGAAGACGAAGAAATCGAAATTGTTGATGACGAAAGTACTCTGAAGCAGGATCCCGAGAAATTATTAACCGATAATAAACCCAAGGATAAAAAAGATAAGAACGAGAAAGGTAACAGAGTAATAATAATAATTATTATTATTGTAATTATTGTACGCAGACGCGCGCACACACGCGGCAAAAAAATAATGAGTACTCCTTCTTAATGACATTTATTTAAAGTGTTATTGTAGTTGGTAATGAATTATTTGAATAATATATTGCGCCTTTATTTTATGCATTGCCAAATTCAAGGTGAATAAAACATTGATATTATTTTTCATCCAAATCCATTAATTATAGGTCGAATGCAAGATGGGCAGCTAGAAACCATCGTTGGCGTCGAAGGCGAAATCAAGGAGACCATGAAAATTACACGTGGAATCGAATCAAACTTCTTTACAAATATGAGTGAGATTGAGAGCGATCTGCTATCCACAAAATTGATCGAGGACAAGAGAATAGAAGTGGAAAAAATGCTTAGCGAATGGCGTCAGGTACCTACGACGGAAGAGGCGACCGTCGCATGGAACACCTTGAGTGCCATTACAGATACACCAGCTCGTGATCTATCCGAAAAATTAAGATTAGTCCTTGAACCAACTCAGGCGTCAAGATTAAAAGGTGACTATCGTACAGGCAAGCGGATCAATATGAGAAAAATCATTCCATATGTAGCGAGTCAATTCAGAAAAGACAAAATTTGGCTGAGAAGAACGAAGCCTTCCAAGAGAAACTACCAAATCGTACTTGCGATCGATGATTCCAGCAGCATGGCAGATAATCATTCCAAAGAGTTGGCATTTGAGTCATTATCACTGATCAGTAAAGCCATGACATACTTAGAGGCTGGACAATTATCCGTAATAAGCTTTGGCGAAGAACTGAGCATATTGCACGCTCTGGGAGAACCTTTCAGTGAAAGAAGTGGCTCAAGGTTTGTAAAGCATATGATAATAAAGTAACTTGCGGCATTGAAATATAAGAGGCCTATAATAATGTGAATGTGCGTATTGACGGATGAAAAAGAAGTAATGAATTTTTATAATTTTAGATTAATGCAAGAAATAAGTTTTAAACAGAAGAAAACTATAGTCGCTAAATTGGTAGATTTTACTGTTGACATGTTCCAAAGCCAATCAAATTCAATGGACAATGCAAAGCTCTTACTTATACTGTCGGATGGTAGAGGTGTTTTTTCTGAAGGAATGGACAGAATTAATCGCGCCGTCCATAGAGCTAGACTGGCTGATATTTTCTTAGTATTCATAATAGTCGACGGGCCCTTAAATAAGGTAAAATATATTTTTTTTCTTCCTATATTAATTATTACGTAGATAAGATATTTAATTGTATATTTATTTTTAGGATTCTATATTAGATATTAGAATACCTATGTTTAAGGATGGAAACCTGACTGGTATTAATTCTTATATGGATAGTTTCCCTTTTCCATTTTATATGATATTAAGAGATATTAACGCATTGCCTGGAGTATTAAGCGATGCCCTAAGACAATGGTTTGAAGTTGTTGGCAAAATTGATTCATAAATTATAAAATACATTCAAATTATAATTCTTATTGTACTACTACATTCGCTCATAAATGTAATCACTTTGATTCTTTTATGTTTTATGATATTTTTATGTAAATAAATATATTTTTTAAATTTATTTATTTTATTTTAAGAAAATGATATCAATTTGTATTTTATACATAGTAGTAAAAAAAAAAATCTGTGCATTACGTAGAATCTGCGAACGTATATTGTTAAAACACCGCCTCTAGTTATGATCGTCTATGTTAATATTTATAGACTTATTTTAATTGTAGTCATATATGAATATTGTTTAATTTATAAAAATAAAATACATATGCCTTTTACACTGTACTGGTTAATGAGTCATATTCACGATCCTAGTAAGAATATTTTGAATAAAATAGGATTACATTTACCCAAATAGTATTTCTCATATTATGTGTTTATAAGCTTTCAAAGATAAATTTCCTAATATTATTGCTACGGTCAATATTTGTTTAATGTTTCTTATCTGCTTTTATTGTATTAGTCATTATATGATTTGCTGCAAGATAAAAAGTATTGATTACAAGGCTCATTTAGAATTGTAGTTTTTATAAATTTCAATAAATTTAAAAAATTCTAATAAATGCAATGCATATTCGAGACAAAATATTAAAGTGACTAAATTTTAAGTGAATAAATTTATTTCTATCTGCTATGTTTTCAAATGCATTCAGAGTAACTTTATAACTTAAAAAAATAACTTTTCAGTGTCTTATACTTAAAATTTAACGAAATTAATAATATTCACTAATGTTATTTTATTAATTACATAATTATAATTATCATAATACCAATAACGGTTTTATATAAAGATATTTAGATTTTTACATTTACGGACTAATACGATTTTATGTCCAAAAATTTGAAAATTAATTTAATCTCGTATAAATTAAATTAACACACTATTTAACGAAATATAAAAGAAAAATTTACCAAAACATTTTATTGTAATGAATAAAAAATAATACCGTATTATACAGAATAAGAAAATATTTCAATTAAAAGTGCAATAAGAATATTAATAAAACTCTAGGAATTGCTTTTTTCAATATTATAAGCAATATGCTTATGCAATATAATGCAATATGCAATATATATGCATTTACCTTATCGTGTTACGAAATTTCAAATCTCATATCCATGTTCAGTAGATCACTAAAATATTCAATTCGATAACGTTTGACAATTTTTTTTCTGCTATTACCACCAGTACTCAACAGCTACAGCTTGAAAAACTCCATCGATTTTCTTAGATTGTGTCTCGAATATCCACGGCAATTTGATAATTTAGCAATTTCTTTTAAAAATTCAAATTATAGTATTCAGCAAAATATTGTACTTGTATTGAACTGACTAATAGACTAATCCGATTATAATAATAATTACGAGAAATTATATGAATGAATCAAAGAATTTTCAGGAATGTCACTTCATATATCAATTGATTAATTATTATAAGTAATAATAAGATTAATAATAATAATCATCATAATCGTTACCACCATTATCTTAATCATAATATAAATATATAAAAGAATGCTAGTAAGGGTGATTATGTATGTAAGGAAATTTTTTCAAAATCAAAAATTGCATTTTAGAAATCAGTAATACTTAACCAGAGAATTATATTTATATTATTTATTTATATATAGAATAAAATTATACCGTAGACAATTTTCAATGCTGAAATATAAAATTTTGCAAATTACATACAAAATTCATAATGTTAATAATGGTTATGAAAGTGGACGATATTAAATCAATGAATAATATGTTTACTGTTGCTGTTTTCATTTTTCATCTAATTGCTGTTCTTTATATATATATTTATATATTTATTTATTTAATTATTAATTAAATTAAATAGCACCATCATTAGGCTTGTGATCATTTATATGATCGATCGATTTCATCTGTCTTTTTTCATATATTTATTTTTTTAGTTCATCTTTGTGTAAATCTTTACTTAATAATTCATGCATCAAAATTCATAATGGCTTTATATGTTCTGAGGGTTACTTTTACATGAATAAAATAATGGATCCTATTAATACTATAAAATAATTGTGTTTTATTCTATTTTCAACAATCATATAATCAATATAATCAAATTGCGACCCCGTATTTTTTTTTTTAATCGTTATACAATTTACGCGAAACACATACAGCTTTGTATGTTTTGTTCTACGCAAAAAGCATGAATATGTAAAAATTAAGGTAAACATACGGAATAATCATTTGATTGATTATGTTATATTTGAAACCCAGAAATATAAAATTTTTCATATTTTAATTAAGAATTTGGAACAAAATTCGTAATTTTTCAAATGGCAAAAAGAAAACTAAAAAAACGAAATTTAAAGAAAAATTTAAACCAATAACTATTCAAATTCACGCAATTAAAAATAAACCGTCTTAATACCATAGCCATCGATGTTTATTTAAACATAAATAATAAATAGACACACAGAATATTGAAGGTATTAAATGCACGACTACTCTATCGATATATTCAAATACATATTTATTTCATTTCTTTGTTCTTTGATGTTTGGTACAGCGTTAACCGACTTGTGATAAAACCTTTATCCACGTACCACGTATCACTATCTTTATATTTGATTCTTACATTCCACCCAAATATAAAAATTAATAAATGATAAGTTTTATGATAAATGCTTTTTGAATGTTAGAATATCAAATTAAAAAATATATATACTGAAAGATATATTTTATTTTATTACATTCATATTTTATTGTAGAGTGATAAAGAGAGAGAAAGATAGAGAGAGAGAGAGAGAGAGAGAGAGCACCGAGGAAAGAGACACTATCAATTTATCAAAAAATAAGTTATTTTATTATTAAAATTACATTCTCATCTTTAAAATATAAAAACTCAATATTGCTCCAAAATGTCGATTATATATATTTTTATTATTAAAATATGTTTAGATAACAAAGATAAAAAGTCTTCTTTTAAATTGTAATAATTTATCAACGAAAGATAATATCAATTACTAAAAAAATATCAAATTAAAAATAATAGACAAATAAAATTTTCGCTTCAATTCGAAATCATAAGTAATCATAATTGAAAAGTTATTTTGTTCTTATTTATGTAATATTTCTATATCAATATTAATATTTATACTAAATATGGTTGAATTTTTTTCATTTTCAGAAAATTTTTATACAGTAGTAGTTTGATTAAATGTTTTTCTCTACGCTACTCAGATATTACAATAAAAAAATTCATCAATTTATAAATTAAAGATCTAAAAGTAATTATTATTTATTAACTTTTTTGTACTAATTTAATCAATAAGTAATTACAAATAATTTTAAATGTAATATCAATAAAATTTTTTATATTTTCTTACCGAATTATTGAAAAGCTAAAAGGGAATGAAAATTTATTACATATTTTCATAGTTTCTCGGTCATTATGCCCCCTCCCCTCCATTTAATAACACACAGTCACAGTTGACACAATGTTATTTTTTAAGAAAAATAAATGATTTCAAAAATTTTCTATACAAATTTTAGAAGCATGTAAAATATTTCTTATTGTCTTTCTTATCTTATTCAATTGATTGGTACAATATTACAAAAATAATAAAACAATCGTAAAAGGTTCATATTTTTACAATATTTGTTCAAGCTTTGCGCTCTTATTGCAATGATTATTAAATTATAATTAAATATAATTTTACAAAGAATAATATATGTAAAATAGTAAAGATGAATAAGCTCATTCTGAGTTACAAGTTCATAATTAAAGAATAAATCCCCTTATGTTATCTTTGTGATTGATCATTATTAATTAAAAAGTATTACCTATTAATTATATACTTATGATAATAATCATACATTGTAAAATAATTTAATACTTTAAAGGAAGCAAATTCACCTGCGAAATCATAATCCTATTACTTTATAATCATACAATTCGTATCCGTAATATCATACTCGTAAATTGAGAAAACGTATATTAGTTCATTTTCTACAAAATCAGGAAAATTACGTTATAATTTACGATCATATTTTTTAACTATGAACAAAAACTATCAAGCTAGCATTTTTAGAAGCTTTATAACGGAATGTAATCCATATGAAAAGATATTTTAACGCAATATTTCGTAGCAGTGCATGTATTTTTATGGAGAGATGGAGGGGTAGAGATTGCAATTATTATATACAGACGACGTAGTGTGAAATATGGACGTCTTACGTGGGAAATAAGAGAAGGTCCACGAGACAGATCAATAAGACTGTTAAAGAGGAAGGTTGCGAGTTAAAATAGACAAAAAGCGAAGTAAAAATGTTAGAAGGGGGAAAAAATAAGTCAATTTTTCATGAAAGAAAGGGAAGAAAATGATACTGCAGGACGTATGAAGTGGTAGAACAGACACAAAAAAAAGTAAATGGAAGATAATGAACGTGTGGGTAAATCGTAAGGGTAAGTTTTACATGTAAATTTGTTAAATTGTACTACAAACTTGAAATATTTGAAGTACAAAAAGGAATGTGCTTGTTATTATATAAGCAGCAGACCGAGCGAAATTACATTAGCAACCGTAATAAGTATAATAATTCGTGTATTATAATAATAATAATGCATGTAATTATTCAGTATGCAAGGAAAATCATCGTACATCGATTCATAATTCCACAATCATTAATTCGGTTCTACGAACCACCCTTTCCCATTATTGGCAATATCCGTTTTTTTGCGAATATGCGAAAACTCTAAGGGCAGTTCTGTTGGAAAATTCATTTTGTAACTCGAATATTCAATATTCAATGTATTTAGCGAGAGTTACGAATGCAATATTAAACATTGTGAACAACAGACTGGAACTTGTTAACTAAAGCTTGAAAAAGTAGAATTTATAAAAAAAATATAATTAATTATAGAAATTATATCACAAAATCTATTATTATGAAAAGTATTTTGAAAAATTGCAATTACAATATCATTTCTGTAGGAAGATGCCTATTGTGATTAG